ATGCATAGTCTGGTAAATTCAAACACCAAAGGCAGTAAATAGCAGGAGGGCAGTGCATGTGCCAAGCTAAGTCCTTTGGCCAATGCCTACCACAGAATCACAGAATGAAGCAGCACCAGCTGTGGTTCCAAACTCTTTACCTGAAGGGAGAAAACACCAGTCCCAGGGCAATAGAAATGATGGTGATGGGTAGACACTGAATGAGCCACCACTGCTCAGACTACCTTCAGCAGCCTCACTTCTCCCATTCCCTGTAGGTAGGGTGACCAGATGTCCCGATTTTATAGGGTCAGTCCCAATTTTTGGGTCTTTTTCTTAGATAGGCTCCTATTACCCTCCACCCCCGTCCCGATTTTTCACATTTGCTGTCTGGTCACCCTACCTGTAGGTCTTGTCTCCTCAGTACAATATTGTTTATTTTACTGACGTTTTGCGGGTCTCTCAGTCATGGATGCTCTTTAACTTCTAAAAAAAATAAAGCTGCTAGAACTACACCTCATGGAATGAATTGGCCCATATGACTTTAGAGCACTAAACAAGTGGGCAGGGATGTCGATTATCTGAGTCATGTAGATAAAGTCCATGGCATCACAGAGTTAATCCTTCCCTCCAATACATGTCACAAATTGCTGCCTATCTCAGAAAATCAGTTTCTGTGCTTCCACAAAGGAATGATATAAAAATCTTAAAACATTCCATTAGCACCCAAAACAAACTGAACTCGATTCACAAAGCTCTTAAGCAGACACTTACATACCATTAACATTAATGAGATTAAACAAGTCCATACATTTAAGAACATGCTTAAGGGCTTTGCTGAAGCAGGGCCTTTATTAATTAGGATAATGCCAGTAGCTATCTTAACCACACCTGGCTTTTTTTATTCCTTTTTTTGCAGAGATCATCCATTATTAAAACTAAAGAACATTCTCATAACTCCTCACCTTGGCATTAAAACAGACAAGGCCACTCGCATGATAACAGAGGAAGCAGTTGCAAATATACTGGCAGCTCTCAATGGTCTCCCTATGCCCAATGAAGTGTTTCCCTAGCTGAGATATATTAAAGGACATCACAGCTGTAAAAGAACATTATTCTACAACTCTCCTTACAGGAATGAAGACTTGCTACTACAGATGTGTAAAACCTTTGACTTGAACCTCAACCTCAGCCTTGATTTTGGTTTGCATATAAATAATAGCTCTTATATTGCATTTTCATCAGTAGATCACAGAGTATACTCCACAATTGAGGTCAGAATCATTACTCCCATTTTACAGATTGGGAAATTGAGGCACAGCGAGGAGAAATGACTTGCCCAAGGTCACGCAGAAAGCCAGTGGCAGAACCAGGAACAGAATGCAGATCTCCTCAGTCCCAGTCTAGTGTTCTATCCTCTTGTCTAAATGTAGATCCAACTGTAAATGGCTTCCATATCTTATTGTTCACTTTGTAATTTGTCACTGCTAGACACAAGCTAAATGGATCTATGAAAACACTGATTGCTGCTGATTGTTGGTGTGTTTATAGTTCTGACGATGTTCTCTAGGGGAGATTAACTAGGGTACTCACATTATATTTTCCAATATGTTAATTAGCTTACTTCCAAGTTTGGTGAATATGCCTCACCCTGTTGAAACCCCACTTAGTCTGTCATTTTGCAGTGTTTTTTTTATATGGAAAAACAAGTTTGTTCAAATCCAAGCTTTTCTAAATTTTAGAGCAGTCAAAATATGTACTCCAGGAGACTTCAATTGCCATTTTAAGTTGATATTACACAACATAAAATTTCCCAAATTATGCCAATCTCAGAGACTTTAAGAGAGAGTCAATTAATGCCTTTCAAAGGGGAAATACAACTGGCTTTGATGGGTTTAGCACCAAATTTTATACATCAGCTCTTAAAGAAAATGTTTTATAAAGGCTTGCAAGAAGAAATGACTCCCATTCACACTAGCTGAGGCCTAAATAATACTTACTCATAAAACAGGAAAAGACACTTCACTATATTTCTACTTATCCAATAGCCATACTTAATAAAGATATGAAAATATTGGCCAATACCCTCATGCTTGGCTACCGTGGCTAGCATCGACTTACGGAGCGGTGCACTGTGGGTAGCTATCCCACAGTTCCCACAGTCTCTGCCACCCATTGGAATTCTGGGTTAAGCTACCAATGCCTGATGGGGCAAAAACATTGTCGCGGGTGGTTTGGGGTACATGTCGTCAGTTGCCCCTCCCTCCATGAAAGCAACAGCAGACAATCGTTTCGTGCCTTTTTTCCTGGGTTACCCATGCAGATGCCATACCACGACAAGCATGGAGCCAGCTCAGCTCACCGTCACCGCTGCTGTTGTGGCCAAGTCTACTGTGGGGGCTGCTGTGATCCAAGTAACCAATGCAATCATTGACGTTCTGTTATCAAGGGTAGTGACTCTGGGAAATGTGTGGGCCATTTTAGATTTTAGGTGCATCATATTCCTGTCCTTTGTCACTGGTGAAGAAGTCTTGCAGCTGTACAGTCCAGTCCGGTTGGCGCTGTAACATCCCATAGCACTTCTGTGGTTGACACATGTAACAGCTCGAGGGCTCTTGCTCTTTTGCCTTGGCCAAGGTACCTTGCCCTACCCGGACCTCCAAGCATTCGACACAGAAGCACCTGCAGCAGCTGGCATTGCTACACAGCAGCAGCTCCTTGCCTTCGCAGCAGACGGTGCAGTAGGACTGCTAACCGTCTTTGTCAGACGTAGTTTGGCCGGGGTTCTAGGAACATCTTCCCTTCCCGGCTCCTAGCAACCTCCAGGGCATGATGTATGGCTCCACTGCTTCCGCTGCAACTCTGCTCTCCTGCTTGGGGGATCCGTTCATGAAGCCTGGACAGTAGTAAGGAGCAGTTCAACTACAGGCTGAGCAAGTGAAGAATGGTGGTAGAATGTGCCTTTGGATGTTTAAAAGCTCACTGGCGCTGTTGGTCAGACCTCAGCGCAACCAACATTCCCATTGTTATTGCTGCTTGCTGTATGCTCCATAATATCTATGAGAATAAGGGGGAGACGTTTATGGCAGGGTGGGAGGTTGAGACAAAATCGCCTGGCATCTGATTTTGAACAGTCAGACACCAGGGCGATTAGAAGAGCACTGCAAGGTGCGCTGCGCATCAGAGAGGCTTTGAAAACCAGTTTCATGACTGGCCAGGCTTCGGTGTGACAGTTGTGTGTGTTTCTCCTTGATGCGAACCCGCCCCCTTTGTTGATTTTAATTCATAGATTCTCATAGATTCTAGGACTGGAAGGGACCTCGAGAGGTCATCGAGTCCAGTCCCCTGCCCGCATGGCAGGACCAAATACTGTCTAGACCATCCCTGATAGACATTTATCTAACCTACTCTTAAATATCTCCAGAGATGGAGATTCCACAACCTCCCTAGGCAATTTATTCCAGGCAATTCCCTGTAAGCCAACCCTCTCCCCGCTTTGAAATAAAGTAACTATTGTTTTGAAACCATGCATTCTTTCTTTATTAATTAAAAAAAAGAGAGAGAGAGAGAGAGAGAGACAACGGACAAGGTAGCCTGGGTGGGATGGGGGAGGAGGGAAGGACAAGGCGACACTGATTTTTAGTGTGGCCACAATAAGCAAACTGTTTGAATTACAGCCTTCTGTTGCTTGGGCCATCCTCTGGAGTGGAGTGGCTGGGTGCCCGGAGCCTCCCCCCGACATTCTTGGGCATCTGGGTGAGGAGGCTATGAAACATGGGGAGGAGGGGAGGCGGTTATACAGTGGATGCATCGGGGGTCTGTGCTCTTGTGGCTTTCCTGCAGCTCCAACAGATGCTTCATCATGTCCGTTTGCTCCCCCATTAGCCTCAGCATCACATCCTGCCTCCGCTCTTCGCGCTCACTTAATTCTTTCCTGGCCTCTGCCACTGAATGCCTGCATGCATTAGCTGTACCCTATCAGTGCGGGAGGACTGCATGAGCTCGGAAAACATGTCATCACAAGTGCGTTTTTTTCGCCTTCTAATCTGCGATAACCTCAGGGACGAAGATGATAGGGGGAGGGGGAAATATTCTACACTCTACAATTCTGAAGGGACTGCATGGTCACTTGTGCTGCTGAGTTCACCACGCTGACCAAACAGGAAATGAAATTCAAAAGTTCCAGGGGCTTTTCCTGCATACCTGGCTAGTGCATCAGAGCTCAAAGTGCTGTCCAGAGCAGTCACAATGGAGCACTCTGGGATAGCTCCTGGAGGCCAATACCGTCGATTTGCGTCCCCAAATTCGAGCAAAGTCAATTTTAGCGCTTCAGATTTAGCATTAGAGACTCTTAGACTTACAACACATCTCAGTAACAACCATCCAGCAAAATCTCATCTTCATACACACTAATGATGTACATATTTGGACAGAACAATGGATTTCAGCAGCTCATGATTTCCCATATGAACATGGCATTCATGTAAGAACACGGCATGCTTTATATGAATTATATCATAATTATCTGGGGTGAATATGGGGGTCCAGGGAGCTGCTTTGAGGTATAGAGTGCCAAAGTACTCAAAACAAGTTGTCAGATCTTGTGGTGAAAGAACCCAAAGTATGCTACCCCTGGTTACACAGGCCTTAACCCAACATTTATTTATCTTTGTATATATTCTTTCACCACAAGATCTGACACTCTGCCTCCTGTGGATAAATCTGGGCAATAAGATTCCAGCTTTTGTAAAAACAGAAAAACCCCAACAACTTGATAGTAGCAATCATCGTAGATAGATAGAATAGATAGAGTGGAGGAAGTAAATGAGAATAGAGTAAAGTGAGAATGGAGATGGAGCAAGAATGGAGTAAGTGAGAATGCAGAGAGCTCTGTTGAGGTGGGTCACCTCTTTTATAGGGCAAATGCTGGTAATCCTTCCTCTTCTGCCCAAATTTCATTCCTCACCCGCAGAAATGTTAGGGTACACTTACCCCATAGGCTAGTATGTATGTGCGTATCGATGACAGGTATGTACACACATCAGTCTCTGTGGTGTACTTGTTAAGTCTGTGGGTACAACATTGAAAAAACCCCTATGCCATTCTTCATTGTCTATTGGTCTAGGTAAAGGTCTAAGAGATAGGCGTGGGTACTTTATCTATTTGAATAACAAGATAAAGGTCAACTTTATTTTTCTGGGTAAAAGTCTTAATATAAATGTGCTAACTTTGCCTTAGCTTAACATACAGGATATGGCCTGTAGGTCTCTTGTATTACAGCCCAACTTAGGTTTATAGATTTATATTAAAGTATTACAATAAACCAAATACTTAAACTATAAGAAAAGATATATATATGTAAGCAAGCAGGTTAGTCCTATAGGCTACACTTTGTGGTCCCTGTTGTTGACTCCCTTCAACCAATGAGATTGCAGTATACAAATGTCACACTCCCATTCCATTTTAAAGAAAAAAAAAATCAATTCCTCCACCCACCTACTAAGCCAGAGGTGGGCAAACTACGGCCTGCGGGCCACATCCGGCCCACGGGACCGTCCTGCCTGGCCCTTGAGCTCCCAGCCAGGGAGGCTACCCCCTGGCCCCTCCCCTGCAGCCTCAGCTCCCCATGCCACCAGTGCTCTGGGTGGCAGGGCTGCGAGCTCCTGCCGGGCAGCGCGGCTGTGAGAGCCGCCGGCCTGCCAGAGCTGCTGGCCTGCCCTGGTACTCTAGGCTGCGTGGCGGCGTGGCTGGCTCTGGCTGGGTGGTGTGGCTGCCAGTCCTGGTGCTCTGAGCAGCATGGTAAGGGGGTGGGAGGGTTGTATAAGGGGCAGGGGATTCTGGGGGGCAGACAAGGGGCAGTTGGATGGGGTGGAGGTTCGGGGGGGGCGGTCAGGGGATGGGGAACAGGGGGCATTGGATAGGCGTGGGAGTCCTGGGGGGCCTGTCAGGGGGTGTGGATAGGGGTCAGGGCAGTCAGGGGACAGGGAGTGGGGGGGGGGGTGGGGGGGGGTTGGGGTCCTGGGGGGGGCAGTTAGGGGCAGGGGACTCCAGGAGGAGGGCAGTCAGGGGACAAGGAGCAGGGGGGGTTGGATTGGTGGGGGGTTCTGAAGGGGGCAGGAAGTGGCAGGGGGCGGATAAAGGGCAGGGGCCAGGCTGTTTGGGAAGGCACAGCCTTCCCTACCCAATCCTCCATACAGTTTTGGAACCCCGATGTGGCCCTCAGGCCAAAAAGTTTGCCCACCCCTGTACTAAGCGCTAGTCCTCCTGATTTCTCCCAAATAATCCTGTCTCCCTCCTCAGGAGTGCTGAAATAATTTGCCAAGAGCTGAAGGAGTGAATAAAGCCCTTGTAGTGGGGAACTAGGGTATTGCATGGGGAACATTTCTGGAGAATACTAGAGAGAGGACTCTATCTGGTGAAGTTCACATATCCCAGTACTAGGCATGAGAGGGTTCACATTCTGCGTTCTTGGTGTGAGCTCATCTCTAGAAAATACCTGCCATCTGGTGCATTCCTGAGCAAAAATATTACTGGCAGAGATAGTTCAGCAGTCCCTCCCCCACCTCAAGATCTACTTCCTAATCTCTCCCTCCTCTGAGCCCACTGGGGTCAGAGGGGAGTCTCATTGAACATTAAAAAACCATCTCTGAATCTGAACTGGCCAATGTCCTCTCACTGTTAGCACTTACCCCGGCCCCAGTTTCCAACCGCTATGGACTCCATGAAGTGTTGTCTGCACTTGGCCCACAAAAAGCCTGAGATCAGTTTTGCATAAACACGTGTATTCTTGCAAACTTCTTGAAAACCAAAGTACTGTTTAATTTCCCCATAGTCAAGTCCAGACTGGTTAATTAAAGAAAACAAGTAGAGCACCAAACTTCACTGTGATTCTATGGGTCATTGGTTTTGGCATACCCCTTTGGAGAAATGGCAGAGCCTTTGACCAGAAATTATTAAATTATTCATTAAGTCAAAAAGATAGAGGTACTTGTGGATGTAACTGTGCAAGAAAGGGATAAATAACTCCTGGGGCCTGATCCAAAGCTCAGTGACATCAACGGGAGTTTTCCCACTGATTTCAATGGGCTTGGGATCAGGCTCCTATAGAAATGGCCATTTTGCAACTGGCTAAAACCTGGGAAGTGGCTGTTTACTAGTAGATCTGGAAAGAAGAAGAGGGTGGCTTAGGACTTCTGCCAGGAGTGAGACTCAGCTCCCATTTTACGACTGCTGGAAACCATTCCCAAACCCCAGACTGTATCCAGACACAGGGCTGGCTCCAGCTTTTTTGCCGCCCCAAGCGGCGAAGCGGGGAAAAAAAAAAAAAAGAAGATAAAGCTGCGATTGGCGGCACTTCGGCGGCAGCTCTAATGCGCCACTTCATTCTTTGGTGGCAATTCGGCAGTGGGTCCTTCGCTCTGAGAGGGACTGAGGGACCCGCCGCCGAATTGCCACCAAAGACCCGGACGTGCCACCCCTTTCCATTGGCCGCCCCAAGCACCTTCTTCCTTTGCTGGTGCCTGGAGCCAGCCCTGTCCAGACAAACTGACGCCGCTGTTGGATCACAATCTGATCCTTAAACGTGGGACTGGTAAGGGTAGATGGGTCACTTCAGGAGCCTGGTGGTTGGTAGGAGAGGAGTCAGTTAAGGAACTAGCATGAATCAGAGAGGCCTGAGGGAATCTGCTCACGCAGGGAAGTGACTGGGGCATTTGACTGGGGCATTGCAGGAAGAGCACGGCAGAGTAAGGCAGGATTTTTGGGACTGAGCTTCAGATTCAGAAGATCTGTGGAATTTGGGGATGCAAGCTTTTGTTCTCTGTGGGGCAAATCAGTCAACACTCCTTCCTCCCACACATAGTGCACGCCCACACACTCCTGTTGAAATAAAATAAAAGGAAGGGAGTTTGTTGGTATTTATTCCCAACCCCAAAGGAATAAAAAATGTGAACTAAGGAAAGTTTTAATCTCTCCAGCCCTACCTACTGGCTGGTTGGGAAAAGTCAAGTACTTTTAAAACTCATTTTCCAAGGTGCTAAAACTACCCATGCCAGAAAAGCTAGTAATTAAAGCTTGAAGTATGCTTTTCAGGAAGCTATGGGTTTTGGGTGGAGATTGTTGGGTTTTTGGTGTTTTTGTTTGTGTCATTTTTGTTTTTTTGCAGCAGTTGTAAATGCAAGATACTTTTGTTTTGAAAGGCTCAGGAACGGGTATTCTTATTTATGTGTTTAACCAACCTGGAATTTTAAACTAATCTCAGTAAAAATTTATGAAGTCTACAAAGCGTTAAGTGAATATGGTGGTGGGGTTTTGTTTTTTGCCTGGAACACAGTCCCTTTTTACTCCCTAGATCAACAGTGGTTAAATTCTGTTCTCTTTCTTTAATAAGATAGTAATTGGCTTGAATTTCAAATAATTGATCTGATTTTTCCAAAGTCAGAGTACATGCACATCAAAATCTTGCGATTTTTTCCCATTGAGCAAACAAAGTTAGTGACCTAAGTTACAAAGTGTCATAAACATGCAGTTAAGGGTTAATTCCTCTTTTACCTGTAAAGGGTTAAGAAGCTCACATAACCTAGTGACACCTGACCAGAAGGACCAATAAGGGGACAAGATGCTTTCACATCTGGGAGGGGGGAAAGTCTTTGTTGTTGTTCTGTGTGTGC